AGAGGGGGGGGGGGGGGGGGTAATGAAGAAATGATTTTTTTTAATTTAAAAAAATAATGTTTTTGAATAGAATATAGTGTATTGATGCGTTTTTAATCGAGTGTAGTCCATATTTTTTCCAACTCAGCAATATTTATGCCACATAGGTTTGATCAATGGTCAAATGAGTTTCAAATATTGTATTTTAATAAGTTTAAGGATCTAGTTGATAAAATATATAGTAAGAGGGTTCATAATACAAATATAAGGGTCGATCAGACTATTTTGTTAATTTTTTAATATTTAATTTCTTACATGTCATTAAAAATGACATAGAATTATATGTGTAAGAGGTTGGATTACACACACAGTGATTTGATGAGAAAAAAATTTAAAACATAGTGTTTTAATGAATTTAAAAATTTAGATGACAAAGTGTTGAATGGATGGTTCATAATACAAACGCATTATAAGTATAATGCCATCAGACCATTTTGTCTTAAAATAAAACCAACATAAGGGCTAGTACACAGACACGGTCTATACGAACGGTAGCTTCCTTTTATTTAATGAGAAAATAGCTTTCACGGAGCTAAGCTCGTGTGTTAGGTTGAGAAGGAATGACTTTTTCCATTTTGAAATAAATGGCCTCTCTTTTTGCTTTCACTGTAACTTAGTGGATGTTGTCAGATCCAACAACTCCAAATTCCAATAGCCAATTATAATGGAGGTAGTTTTGGACTGGCACCATAATCAACTCACCATCTCTATCAACAGAAATAAAAATATACATATTGCTAATTTACTGAAAGAGAGGAGAAAATTTTAGAAAACCAGCAAACTTAAACAAAACATCTTGACTCTATCACAATTATAGTAGATGAACTCCCACTATCCATCTGTCGAGTATTTTGTTTTTACCAGATGATCTAGAAAGTAGCTAATATATGAAAAAAGATGTATTCTCCTTTTGGGAAATTTCTTATAAATGGCAAGTTTGCAGTGAGCCAAGTCTTATAAGGATAAGTACAGACTGCAAATCCCCAATCCGATCATTCATTGCATCTACATTATGTACAATGTTGAGTTTGCACCAAAAAAACTAATAAAGAAATGCATCTATGTTTAAGGCTAAGTTTTTTGCTTTGCCTACATAAATTCCTGTTGTATTCTTTCAATCTATACACTGCAAGCAACCGATGGAGACTGGTAAGGGGTATGATATTATTCCAAAACAAGCAAGTCTTCACGGATTATTTGTAGGTTAGGTTGTGTGATGGCATGCTTCCTTACTCATTAACCAAGTGAAAAAGGAAGCCTTCAAGGGAGCTTTGTTGCAACGGATCTTCCATTGCCAAATATACAATTGACAAAGATGTCTTCTCCGAGTGGTCTCATTCTCCTAGAATGACATTTCAGTGGGAAGTGCAAAGCTGTGAAAGTGAGAAAACTGACTTTGTATTGTCATTGTCATACATTGTGAAAATTCGCCATCCTGAAAAGTAGCAAGATAGCAGGCATTTAAACAAATGATTGCATTGAGTGCCAATTTAGAATTCAAAGCACAAAGAAAATGGGAAACATACAACAAGTGTAGCTTTTCTGATGAAGTCGAAATGAGCAGCCGCAAGGCACAAATGACAAGAGCCGCTAATTTTCAGAACACAGAAAGTCTTGACACCTCTCTGTCATCATCAAGTACTTTCAAAAAAAAAAAGGATCCTTTCTTCTGCAATAACAGAGGAACAAATTGAACAACAGGTTAGTAACTTTAAGTGGTTTAGCAGCACCCCTTGATTTGGCTGCTAAAGATTCCTCTTCAGGTAACCCTATCAGAAAAAGCAGATACTTCTAGGTGGAAGTAAACACCGGATTTCTGACTCCAAGAAAAGGACCTTGCTTTCAAATGATCAGACATGATATTGGACTGTATTACTCACAATGTTATACTGCAGGGTAGTCACACTTCAGTGTGGATATACAAAACACCAATTGATTTGGCAGCTATTAGATTCTTCCTCAGACCTATCCCTGTTCAAGAGTTCAAGGCTTATAGCTGATTCTATTTGTTCGAAGTCTAGAACTCGTGGAAGAGCGTGGATCTGTTGAATAAGAAAGAACAAACTTAGTTAGAAACTCATGATTCTGCTGGTAATGAATAAGACAGATGATTAAACATCAACAAAATAAGCTATATATCTCAACTCTCCTGACTGTAAATGTTTTTGAGTTCCTGCAAAAGTAAAACCATTTTAGGATACTTTACAAGAACAAATTCAAAAAGCAAATACAAACTGAATTAAGAATAGACTAGTGCAACAGTATGAAATAAAACTGTGCTTTCTTCCAAAACCTGCCAAAGAAACAGGGAGTTAAAGACATAAAAGTAGGTGAGCTTTTAAAGCTCACTGAAAAGTGTGTTCTTCATCTGACAGGGCAAGTTCCTGTAGGAAAGGAAACAAAGTATATAGTTCCACTGACTGGATTCCAATAAACCTCCCAGAGTTGATCACAGTGATTAGTAGAGTCATATAAGTCCAGCAAGCCAATACAGATGTTTGACAACCCCAAAAAGGTATAATTGTAACCACTTAAGTATAAAGTGACTAGACAGAAACCAAATAGAGGTTATACAAAATGCTGCACTATATATAGTTAAAGCCTTCATGTGACATCAACTCAGGCGCATATCAGCGTTTGCAGACATAATATTGTTACTCCTAAACAGTTATAAAGAACTACAGTCCATAGGAATGTAGAATATAAGTCCTCCTACAAAATGGCAAGACAATCTAGTCTGCCATGGAAATTATGAAATTGTTCCTAATCCAGTCCAAAAAGAAAGTAAAATTAAACAGACGAAAGCATGGAAATTTATTATATCTAGTTCAAGTCCATGCCCTCTCCAACTTGACTGCAAATGGGACTAACAGCAGTGAAAGATCTCTCAAATGGTGATGGGTGGAAATGTGCATCCCTTCTGCGCTTAAAGGCGCAGCTATCAGAAGGGGAACTATCAGCATCAAACTTCCTCCGTACACCTTTCACAGCCTGCACTTCAACTTGTGTTAAAGGGAAAATCTGTCTGCTAACTCTGCAAAGAGAGTTATGGTTATCATACAAAATTCGCTGGTTACAGTTTTTGTCACAAATGTGTGTCAGCCCAGTTAGACGGCAGCGGAACATGTTCCCACACACATGTTCATTTTCACATTTCCAATCACACTTGTGAACAGGGTTTGGGCCATCTTGGCCAAGAATAGTTGACAGATATATAACATTTGTAGGCACTGCTACCATAGATTTTCCAAGTACCTCCATTGTTCAGTTAATCAAAAAACTTGAGTTTTGAGAAGATATCCACACCCCACTCGCCTTGCCCCGGATGCTCTGCAGACTCGACAAACAAGATCCGTCAAGATTGGTGGGTGGATCATGGAATATAATTATTTGTTTCAAAGGACTAAAACCATCTTAAAATATTTTCCTATGGAAACTGAACAGCAATATTTAGGTGACTAAGCAACCTCAATACAGAAACATAAAATAAAAAAGCTTATCTTTAAAGTACTCGAGCAATTGCTAGTGGAGACTCAAAACAAGCTTCCTACCTAAGGGTGGCAAAATTAAACCCAACCCATCCAACCCACTTAAAATAACCCGCCCATTTATTAGTTTAACCCATTTCAGCCCGACCCATTAAAAATTGGGTTCATATGTAGCCAAAATTGACTAATGAAAAATCTTGTCAAAATATTTTCAGAAGACTTTATTCTTAATTTGATATATTATACATAGCCATGATAAAAATAAGTAAATTTTTATGTATTAAAATTTTTAGAAAGAACAATTAAAACTTGGTAAAAAATGAGCGGGTTGGGTTATGATCCATTACTTGACCCGTTTGTTATTTTGGCCCAACCCAAGATTGGATTGGGTCTTGACCCATTTGTTGTTTTGACCCACCCAAATTTGAGCCAACCTACCCAATTGCCAACTCTATTCCTACCCCCACCCCCAAAGCTGGAGTCGTTCACCAGAAGGGTGTTAGAACTTCACATGGAAAGGAAAAGGCGTTGTAGTATATTAACAGTCAACAGCACCAGAAAACTAGCAATTAACTGGCAACAAATATTAGCTCTGTTGATTTACACATCTAGAGCAAATCTAATTACATTGTTGTTTCGTATAAGTGAAATATTGTTTGTTTACAAGTATTTCATAAAAGAATTTCTTTATTAGGTTAGGTGAATTCCTTCTTTTCCACCTAAAAAAATTTCGACCGAAAAAAATCCCTAAAATTGCACCTAAAACAAAAGATCCTGTACAAAACTGACCAAACAAGGGCAAAATGAACAGTAAAAATTTCCAATTTCAGCTCAAACATACAGAATTTCCTCTCACACAACCATTTACGTTAGCATTACAACCAAATCTGAAGAACTACAACAGAATTATCGAAAAAAAGCGATAAAAACAACAACTACCTAATTCTCAGGCAAAATCAAACAATAATACTACAAAAAAATCATGAAAAAAGAGCAAAAAATAAGAAACTTACGATGAACCCGAAATGAAGAACACCTAACAAGCTCTTCCTCCTCTTTCTCTTTCTCTTTCTCCTTCTCTCTCACTCACTCGCTTTCTCTCTCTGAGACTTTTTCAGCGCTATGCCTGTAGTGAAGCAAAGAAATGGGGAGAGTATGAAAGAGTATTTATAGAAAAAGTGGGACACGGATAAGGTGTTGATCCGATTCTCATGTGTGGGACGTTGGACGTAAATGTAAATGCACATGAAATTTATCTAAAATGAAATTTAATTTTGTCATTTTCTGTAATTTATTTAACTTTCTTACCGTTTAGTGGACGAGGTACGACATCGTATTTGTACTGTTACAATCACGACTCTAACGGGAGGTGCATCTTCCGTCACGTGCCCCACGCTTTTTGGTTTTTTATTTTTAATAAAAAAAATAATTTTCCTTTATTCGTGGGAGCTTTTTATCAAGGTCGTCGGTTTGTAACGTTAAAGTAGACTTACGGAAAAAGAAAAAGTAGACTTGAAGGACCTACCAAACTTTGACACGTGTTTGGGCGTTCTCTTAATTGTTCACCAACAATCCGTTTTTATCGTGCTTATAGGTGGGTAATAGAATTGGGCTTTTACCCATCATTTTATGGGCCAATTCTATTTCCAAATGGGCTTGTTTTTGGGTAATTACTTAGCAATTTTATTCTTATCTCTCGCTCGCGTATTTGTAATCTCATATATATGTATATAATGTGATTCACATGTATCTAAGATACATAGACAAATCTTGTTTGTCTTCCTCTCATCTTGCTCGTCACTCTCATATCTCGCTCGCATATCTGATATCTCAGATACATATATATAATGTGATTCGTATGTATCTAATATACATAGACAAATTTCGCTTGTCTCCCATCCATTTTGCTCGCCACTCTCATATCTCAGATACGTGCGAATCACATCAAATATATATATAGTGTATATCTAATGTGATTCGCATGTATCCAATTTGAAATTTAGTATGGAATTGTTAAATAGTGAGGTAAAATGTAATTATTTCAATTATAAGGAGTATTAATAAATATAGTAGGAATGTTTGTGTATTTATGTAGTTTCCCCAAACTTTATTGTCAAGTACGAGTAATTGCAGTTCAAAATAAAGGAGAGTGATCTTTTAAAAAAAACAAATTGAAAATTTAAAAAGAAAACACTAGATTGGGATTAATACCTCAGTTGCTTGGCTACCTGAATTTTCACCCTTTTTATAAGGGTTTGATTCCTTACCTTGTAATGTCTTCTCTCATTGGTATATGACTTATATCCCCAATTTATTTATTTTTTAAAAGAACACTTAAGCTCGTACTAAAAATTTGTAAGTTGTACGAATATTAGACTATCAATAAAGTTAAATAATATATTAGCAAATATTGAATTGAGTCTTACATTATTCGGAAGAATAATCTCAAAACTTATATTTGCAGAACTTTTAATATTTAAACTACAACCTAAATAAGATATATATTTTCATAAGTCAACCATGAGTGTTTTCTGAAGTGCAAGAGGAGTTTATGTTTGTTATTAAAGTTATATTTAATTTGTAAAAGTTGTTAAACTTGTATCCGATTTGACTTATTTCATATAAAATCTTGTTAGCTAAGAGAGCTATTTGTTTCAGAAAAAATGTGAGTTATTTCTTGCAGCTTAGGATATTATGAAAATTTAGGGGTCGTTTGGTAGGCCGCATTAAAATAAATAATTTATGTATTATGTATGGTATTATTTAGTACTATGTTTGGTAGGAATATGGGCCTATGTATAAATAATCCATGGATTAGTTATACCTCCTACATGGTATGATAGGGTGTATCACTAATACCTTCTATTTGGAGGTATTAGTAATACATTGGATATAATACCATGGGATAAGTCTATGTAAAGACAAAAATATCCCTCAAATCATTTTAATTATTTTATTTATTTTCTTGATTTTATGTTTTATATTTGTACTAGTAAATTTATTTAAATAAATTAGCTTACAAATTATTTAGAGAAAGTTGTTTGTTACTACATAAATTCAATACAAATTAATACAATATTTGAAATGTAAGTTGCTTAACATTAACTAATTAAAAGGGCAATATTTGTGTGGTTTCTAATTATTTGTATTTGAGCAATTTATAAAATTGCATACATATTAAAACTACAACTTGCAATTTCTATGTGTAAATGTAGATGATTTATTCAGTTTTACTATTGTTTACGTCTTTTCAATTTTAAAAGTTGATAGTTTATCTGTTTTTTTTAAAATTGAAAATTGACATTTTGTAAGTAATCAATTTACTAAGATGACAATTATTTGTCCTCGAATAATCTAAGTGAAAAAGGCAAATATGACAATAAAATTGTTCTTCTCGTAGCTAGTTAGAAGGCCATAAAAAAATAATATCATCCGGTAATTATTTACCTTAACCTAATTACATAATAATTGAAGTATATAATTGGAAATGAGTTTTTTTATAAAGTTTTAACCCAATTCCAAAATGGGGTTGGAACCAATGAACCAAACACTTGGTAAAAATAAATCTTGCATTACTAATTCCAGCCTTAATAATCCCTGCATTATTTATTTTTGTACCAAACAACCCTTAGTGCGATATTCATGATTTGAATGTATTTTAATTATTTAATTTTCATTACAGTTGGTGGGGTATTTTGGACAATTCGCAATATATTTTCCGCAGTTGAAACCCTACTTTTCCGCCGCATTCCCAAAATTCACATTTTCCTACTTCCTCAAACACCAAAATGGTGAGCTCGTTGTTATTTCTCTTTGTTCCCTCCTGGGTTCTGGGTTCTGGGTTCTCTCTTGTGTAACCATGTTTCTTTACTATAATGAAATATGTGTAGCTGATATTGCTAATTTAGTTTATTGTTCATCATGTAGTAGTGGGTTCGGCGTCTAGCAGTTATGCATTTACCTCATTGTTCATGTAGTAGAGGGTTCTGGATTAATCTGTTATTTCAGAATCGTAGTTTTGGTTATTTTCCTTTAACGAACTGTTTTTCAGTCGGTTCGAAACAAGGGGTAAGGTCCTACACACTATCGTCCCCAGACCTCACTTTGTGTGATTACACCAGTATGTTGTTGTAGTTCAGGTGATTTTGGTAATTAACAAAGGCGAGTGAAAATGCTTTGATAAGTTTTATAGTGTTAGGCTCCGCTAGCTCGAGTAGTAAGCACCCTTTACTTCCAACCTTGAGGTTATGAGTTCGAGTTACTAAGAGACCAAAGTGGGCGAGCTACTAGGGAGGAAAAAAGGATAAGCTCTGTAAAGGGGAAGTAAATGGTAAACTAGAGTACTCAAATTTGTTTTATTTTGTTTGGTAGTGCATCTTTTTTTCTTCAATTTGGTGTAGGGGAAGGGAAAATGGGGAGGGGATTAAGTTACCAGTTTCATAAAAAACAAGGGAGGAGATTACAAGGTGGAAAATTGAATCCTCACCAACAAATTGAAAATTTAGGTAGTCATCTAGCTGATCTACTAAGATTTCCCTTTAAACGCAGGCTGTTGGGTTCATTTGTAGTGTAATAATGCTGTTGTATTGTAGCTTAACGGTTCTTACAACACTATCTATCACCAACAGAAGTATGAAATCTTCCACTTGTGTATGTATCTGTTTGTTACTGCTTTATTGTGGTGCAGAATGCCATTTTGCAAGTGTCGGTGATGATTGTTTTAGTTACTAGTTTGAATCTGTTGGGCGGATACAATTGTAGTGGTTCGCGGTATATACTATTGGGTGATTTGACTAGAACAGTGCAGTTGTACTTGTTCAGAATCCAATGATGAATGCTTATATTGCAAGTGCCGAATGACACTCCAACCAATGTTGGATGTGTGATTTGAAAAAGGTTTCTGAGGATTCTTTTCCCTTGTTTCAAATCATCAACTACACTTAATCCTTAATTACTTTATGTGCCAATTGTCCCTCATCGAATAAATAGAGAAATGCTAATGGATTTTTAGGCTATAAATAGGTTCTCCCACTATCAAACTAGTCTTTTGGGTTGGGCTCTCCTGTTATTCCCATTTGGTCTAAAAATTGTTATCAATGTTTTGATAAGATGAAAGGAATAACAGGAACAAGGAGGTTAGAAGTAGCTTAGGAGGCTCGTGGAAATCTAAAGGAGAAGTTATGTGAGGTTTGGAACTGAACCGTTGGAGGATATTGTAGAGAGTTTCACCCAACCTTGAGATTGTGGATTTGAGTCACCAAGAGAGCAAAGTGAGGGTCTGCAAAGGGGAAGTAAATGGTAAACTAGAGTAATCAAATTTGTTTTATTTTGGTTGGTAGTGCATCTTGTTGAGTTCATAATCATTCTTAGTGTAATGATGCTGTATTGTAGCTGAACGGTTCTTACTACACTATCACTAACAAAAGTATGAAATCTTTCACTAGCGTATGTTATGTTTGTGACTTCTTTATTGTGGTGCAGAATGCCATTTTGCTAGTGTCGGTGATGATTCTTCTAGTTACTAGTTTGAATCTGTTGGGCGTTTACAATTGTAGTCGTTCACTGTATGTATTGTTGGGTTAATCCACTAGAACAGTGCAGTTGTACTTATTTAGAATCCAATGATGAATGCTTATATTGCAAGTGCCGAATGACACTCCAACCAATGTTGGGTGTGTGATTTGAAAAAGGTTTCTGAGGATTCTTTTCCCTTGTTTCAAATCATCAACTACACCTAATTCTCTTCTTTCAGTATAGCTTCACCATGTTTAGACTCTTTTACATGGGTCGTCAGTATGCTCCACGACCCTCATGCTTTATCTGGGTATTGAACATGCAAAATTTTAGTATGCTTGTTTCCTCTTAATGTATGGTTCTACTTTGAAGCCATTGATATCTGGCATAAATGATGTATTTCATTTTTAAAAAACAAACATTGTCAATCATTTGGTCAGTTAGATCCTCGCATTTTTGGAGGATCCGACACGGGTGTTACAATAGGTTGTTTTTCCTAATGTGATATGCAATTGCTTTTACATTCAAAAGCAACATATGCATATGTGCTGTGTGTAGATTAAAGCTCAATGCAGTGTGATTGTGCTATTTAATTATTGGGATGATTTGCAGATTGAAAGGAATGTTTGGATTGGTGGTTCAATTTTCTCTACATCCTCTCGTTATTTGGAAGAATTGCATGTGATTCTACTTTTTTTTTTTTTTGTTGGGGTGTGTATCCTAGTGTTTTGATTTAGTGTTGTAAGAACTAGTTATATGGTTGCACACTGACAATTGTTGGATGGTTCTTTTTTGCTGTAGAGGCTATTACTCTTTACCTTGTAAGGATAAAGTCTGCGCGCACACTAACCTCCTAAACCTACTTGTGGGATCATACTTGGTATGTTGCTGCACTTTCTTCTCTATGGTGGTAGGGGCTGTTTGGTTGCTGTTTAGATTTATGCAGGTACTAGTTATGCATGGTTTAATTATGTAGGGTTTAAGAGTGGGGTTTAGTTATGTAGATATTAGTTATGCAGGGTTTAATTATGTGAGTATTAGTTATGTTGAGATTACATCATATGAATTATTAACTATTGAATATTAAATTTAATATATATTATTAATATATTTCAAGTACATTATATTATCCTATTTTATATAATGTAAATTTCTATCAATATGCTGCATGTGTTGTTTATACATTTGAGTATACCAAATATATAAATTATATATAAATTCACATTCTAAATAAAATATATAATCAGTATATGCGCTATCAAAGTTATACATTCTAATTCATAATATTAATAAAACATTTATATTTTGATTTTAAATGAAAACAAATAAAAAGTCAGTTGTATACAAAAAGAAATAAGAAACAAAAATAGTTGGGAAAGCAGATTAGTTATGTAAAGTTTTCATAATTTTTTTAAAAATAAATTAATAGGTGTAAATGTGTAATTTATCATTTTAATACATGTATAACTAATATTCAAATAATTTTTCCACTTTCTATCATGCATAATTTATACATAGATTCCCTCATAAGTTAATTACAAAAAAAAGGCATTCAAAAATTGTATTTAATTAATACATGAATGATTTTCATATCATATTTAGAAACCTATCAACCAAAAATAGTATAGTCATTTTGACTTTTCAGCGTTCTACAATACTTTTACCAAACATAATAAAATTAATACAATTTTTTATACATAAATAACATGCCTCTTATATTGTAACCAAACGCCTCGTAATGTTTCCCTAGCAACTACAAAATGTGTTCTTCTGTTTCGCCACGGATGTAATTTGCACTGAAACCATGCTTCTTCTTTTTCTTTCCTTCTCTCTTTATTACATACACAACTTGTTTAGGACTTGGTGAGTGTTTACCAAGTCATTGAATTTTCTTCACTAATAGACGTAGTTGACTTTGACCTATATGGACTGATACTAAGATTTAGCCCAAGACAATCGGATCTAATACTTAACTTTAGTGGGAATGAGCAAATCTGTTATTTTAGCGCCGAAAAATGAAACATGATTCAAAATATTTATTTAGTTTATAAAATCAATAAATAATTTATCATTTTGTGTTTATTTTACTTTTATCCTCCCTTATTGTTTGACAGAGAGAGTGGGTGTTTTCTTCCCAACTTTATCTTTGGTATTTCAAAAAGTCATTTATAATTACTCAAAGAAGAGAAAAATAATTTAGTCAAATATCCTTTTGATTAATGTTTGTTGTTGTAATTTTAATTGACCAGAGGGAATCATCATGCGTAGTGTTCAAGGATTGAACTTTGCGTCAAAAATGTGCGTTCCTTAATGTTTTGGTGGCGCTAAAGTAGGTAATTTATTAATAGGTGACTGCCAATTCATATGACCACCAATAACTCCACTAAACGCAAAACGAAGAAGAGCACGATGATTATATTTAATTAGTAAATTTATTCGTGTTTAGTACGGATATAGGAGATAATATTAAATTCACGAAAACGTTGAAAAGATTTTGCAAATAGAAAAAGAGAAACTAAATCTTTTATGTATGTATGTATAATGTATGTATAAAAGATTCTCTGAGTTTAGTTAAATTTAAAATACAAATATTTTCGATGATATTCGTGAGTGTAATTTCAGTACTTCAAAATATCATACTTACAGGTCCAATTAATAAGCGAATCTTATCGAGTAAAACAAATTTCTTACTCAATTAGCTCATCACTCTTCTCTAAAAAATGACAATAATTTTATTTTTTTCTTAACTTTTTAGGAATCATAATGTCTTTGACTAATGGTATATACTTAATAATATATGCATATTGCAACTTAGCTTACTTTTTTCATCCCTTTTTTCTTTCCATTTTCCCTCTTTTAAGTATTTGTGTGACTAAAATACTCCTTTTTCTCTTTTTCCTTGCTTGGTTAGCTTTCTTTAGTTCCTTATTTGTTGTTTTTAGTTACTTGAAAGTAAACGTTGTAACTTGCACACAAACATTCACATTTTATTAATGAAAATTTGTATAAACATATTTAAGAATTAAGACATATAATAGAAAATTTTCAGTGCAGTTATAAATTTAAAAATAATTTATTATGAATTTAGTTATAAAAAATAATCACTTCTTTGCGATGCCTCCTTGGTAATTATTATTGATTGTTGGTCCTTGTCGGAATCTTCTTCTGATGCTTCCTTGGTATCCTTTGGTTTAATTTTGCTTCAGCTCATCCACCTCCATTTTATTGAATTGCAAAATTTTCTTTTAATTCATATCAACTTTTTCTCTAGTAGATATGAGAAATAGAGCATCATAGAGGGTAGTAGAATCTATTAGGATTTGCGCTTTTAAGCTGGAATAGTTTTTAATCATTTCATTAATATTTGAATAAAATAAAAAATGCTATTAAGTGCTTATTTTTAAGCGAAAGTAACAAAAATAAATCAAAAAGTTATAAGTTAACTTCTACATCATAAGCCAAAATCCTACTTCAAATACATCACTTTCTTTTTATCTAACTTTTTTTTATTTCTCACTCGATGTCCGGAGTTCATATTGAAGCCCCGATTAAATTTGTTTTAGCGGACTGCAAGGCTCATTCACGTGTGACACTTCCAACAAGATTTTCTCCCTATCTAGGATTAGTACCTGAGAACTTTCTCCATGTTGGTTCTTTTTATCTATACTTTATAATTTAATACAAATAGCCTATCGTCATTCATGATCAATTTGCAAATAGAATGGGAAAAAGCACCAGTAATGCATAACACAGCTGACACAAGAATTGGTCATTTTTCATTGTTGAATAGTGGATTGTTAAAATGGGAGCATTAAGAAAAGAAAAAGTTAAGACACCATAGTCAATACTAATTTGCTTTATTAACCAAAAGTGGCTTGGGTTTATTTTCTTTTAAGCCATGGTTAGTGACACCCAGCGGGTATTGCATATAATTTATATTATATGATTTATGGTTCAGTTTTCTACACGAAACTTCCTTTACTAATTTTGCGGATATTATTACCAATATTTAATATTTTCTTCGTCTCGAATTACTATATTATTAGAGTGATCATTTAAATGGGAAGATGTTATAAAGCAATAAAATACCTCTTTTAATTAGTTTCAGACGGAGGAAATATTAGGAATACAGATTAGTTGTTTGTTAACAGTTAACACTTGTTGAATTTACTATGTGTTTGAGAGTCCTCTGCTATCATATTTTTTGTTTTTGTTACTTTTTTGTAATAACCGTAATTGATCTAATTTTGTATCATTTTTCGAAATCGTACAAAAGTTTAATTGTTAATCAGAATTGTTATAGTCCTTCGGGATAACTTAGTTGGTTTGGAGGGTGGTCATTCACATGGATGATCCGAGATCGATTCCTCCTCAATACGTTCTGAGTCGAGCCTGTTGCATACAGGGGCGGACCCACGTGGGTTTCAGGGGGTTCACCCGAACCCCTCGGTAAAAAATTACATCGTGTATATAAGGTAAATTTTTGTATTTATATGGATATATATATTTTGAACCCCCTCAATGACAAAGAGAAACTGATAGCCCAGCGGCACGTCCCTTAATATTAAGCTTAACGTCAAGGGTTCAAATTTTTATTTTTTTCTATCTTAGTTTCAGTATTTTTTTTTAAAAATAAATAAATTTCAGTTCTGTTTTTTTTAGTTTTTTATTTTATAAAACTTGTTAAAAGTGTGGTTTTAAACCCAAAAAAATTCAAGGGTCCGCCTTTAAAACTATATACTACTACTTCCTTTTAGTTTCAGTTCTGTTTTTCACGTTTTTTTAGTATTTTATTTTATAAAACATGCTATAAGTGTGGTTTTAAATCCAAAAAAAATTAAGGATCCGCCACTAGAACTATATACTACTACTTCCTTGAATTTTTTTTTTTGACTTATTTAAACGGTTTTACTTTTATTTTTCGAACCTTGAACGAAAATTCTGAGTCCGCCACTGATTGCATAGGATTTATCTAGTACAATTTACATTCCATGTGTAATTTACAGACTATTTACATCGTGAGAGTTTGCACAATTCTTCTTTTAGAGGTGAGCATGGTATATGGTATGTTGTGATATCTATTAATTTATTTATTTTTGGTAATTTCAATTTTGATATTTAAAAGTATGATATTATTATATCAAATTATATGATTCGATAACGATAATTATAACTTGTTCAACTTCTTTAAATACTATTTTCCGATTACAAAAGAATGATTCATTTTCTTTGTTGGCAACATTTTATTAGTTTCAACTTTTCACATGACATGTTTTAGGCCACAAAATTAAAGGACATTTTGATACATTGAATCTAATTTTAATTTAATACCACAAAATTATTATTTTTTCTTTATTTTCTTAAATTTCATGTTAAAACATAAATAAATTAATACAGAAATAAGTCTAAGCAAGTCGAACTTCTTCTAGCAAAATGTATGGAAAAAAATAATAGTCCAAATATATTAGTTGAGTGTACGTAAATAGAGATCCAAGAATATACTTTTTGTTTGTTTTCTCACTTTCTCCTGGGCCCCCTAGATGACTAAATTATACATGTCTATTTTTTATATATATTCTTTTTAATTAATATAGTTAGATGTAGGCATCTAGCAAGTAGCAAAACGCAACTTTTTTCTTGTTGAACAAAATTTTCTTCCATCAATAGGAGGCTTCCTTCCAGTTCCACTCAATTTTATCAAATATATAAGTAATAAAAATGAAATTTCTACAATTTTCTTAACCCTCCTTCTCTTTTTCTAATGTTTTTGTTTATTTTTATTTCCTCACTTTATTATTAAAAATAGATGTATATCTTATTGTTTAGTTTCAAAAATTAACCGCAACCTATGTATTTTATACATATTTCCCCTTATTGTTAAGTATGGAGTTATTTATTTCTCAATAACTTTTTTCAAAATTTTGAATTTATTGTAATTGAAGGATAGTATAGTAAACTTTTCAATCTTATTAATAAGTATATCAAGTCAAATATAAACGCAAATTACGAGACACCGGTTCACCACCGAACAACTCGACCCGGGGAAGGACTCGTGTCACAATTGGACTCTCCTTCCTGCATTTAAGGGCACGGGACAAGCTGTGTAAAATCAGACTACACCAATATATTTTCCCCAAAACACATTCACTTTTGCAGCTCTGATACAATATTGAAACTCCATTGAAATGGAGAAACAAGTTTTGGATTATGTGTTGGTACCTGTAGGCCTCATCTTCATGATTGCTTATCACTTATGGCTTCTTCATCGCATCCTTAAACACCCTTCCCATACCGTCATCGGCATCAATTCAATCAATCGTCAATTCTGGGTTCGCGCTATGATGGAGGTAATTCTGTTACCTACGGATTATTAATTTAGCGACGAATTTCATAACTAATTAATTGTTGCATGCAATCGATGAATGTAACAGGACCCGTCGAAAAATGGAGTTTTAGCGGTACAGACGTTAAGGAACAACATAATGGCTTCAACGCTTTTAGCATCAACAGCGATTATGCTCAGTTCGCTCATCGCCGTTTTAATGACCGGTGGAAGCAAGGGCGGCGGATCTATAAGTACTCATATTTATGGAAACAGGACGGAGTTTTGCTTGTCAATTAAGTTTTTTTCGATATTGGTATGTTTTATGGTGGCGTTTTTGTTTAATGTGCAATCGATCAGGTATTACAGTCATGCTAGCATACTCATCAACGTGCCTTACAAGAAATTGGACTCTTCGAATTCGAGGCATTGTGTTACGGCGGAGTATGTAGGGAGGACGGTGAATAGAGGCAGCTATTTCTGGTCACTTGGATTGCGTGCTTTTTACTTTTCATTTCCACTATTTTTGTGGATCTTTGGTCCTATACCTATGTTCCTCTCCTGTGTTTTTCTGGTTTTTATGCTGTATTTTCTGGATGTGAGTTCTGATTTTGGGTGGGTTACACCAACTGATGAGGAGACTCAGCAGCAGACTGCATAAGGAGAGAGCGTGAGAGATCGAGCAGTTTTGATTCAATATAAGTTGAATTAAACTGCTTGATTTCTAAAATAATCTCAAATTAATATTAATATATTTTAAAAAAATTTAAAACGTGGAGAATCGAATCCTCATTCAAAAGATTCAAAAGTTCCGGTGTGCTTTTTATGTCTGTGCATTTTAGTTGAAAACATTTCAGATGAGCGGGTTGAAAATTAGTTGAGACATAAAAGACCAAATATACCTTGACTCAGGCTTATTTAATTTACCGATGAAAAAGTGACTTGAGTGACGAATATTATGAGTATTAATTTATCCATGGCTTGTAAATCTTGTTACTGTTGCTAGAACTAAATTAGATTCTACTTTCTCCGTTTACTTTTACTTGTCTTTTATTTTTAAAATATATTTTCATTTTTATTTGCCACTTTTGATAAATCAAGAAAAGATAATTATATTTTTTTATGTTTTACCCTTAATATTAAATACTTTTTCTCTAAATCATTTTTCAAGACTTAATACAAAATATTATTTAATAGAGATAGTTTGACAAAGTACCTATATCAATAATTGTTTTCCAATATGCCAAATCAAATTTGACAAGTAACAGTTAAGAGGGAAATAATTATTTTGAATATGAATAATCATGTATTCGGCAATTACAATGTATAAAAACTTTTGTAAAAGGTGATGCTGTTAGGTTTTTGATTTACTCATTTTGGCGACAATATAATGATATCCAAAATAATAATCTCTTAAAATCACTTACCTCAGAATAAAGATGCCAGAAATCAGAATATACTGCTTTCTTCTTTCCACCTCAACGTTCTCTTGTGCTTTCGTGTAGGCTCTATACATCGATAACCATTTAAATTAGGCCTTTTCAATTAAGGACTTGAACATATACATGATAAACCATTTTTATTATATATTTTCAAATCAAATTTTGGACTTTTTTTGTGCATGTTCTAAAGTAGTCATTGTTAATGCCATATGAGAACGTACCATTTCTTTTCAAAATTCTAATAAAAATACTTTTATCATGTGCTCATTTATTTAATCAAAATTTGGTCAGAATGAGATTTTACCTATGTTATTTTATCTTTTTGAATATTTTTACCTTTTTAATTTAAATATTTTTTAATTAAAAAATGGAAAAGATCAGTATATTTTAAAATAAAAAAAATATTATAGATTTTTTAAATTTCTAGCCAAATTTTCTGACCGTTTAGTATTAAACTTTAGGTTTACGCCCCTTAAGAAACTACATAAGTTTACCATTGTACCCTTTGTTAGTATTCTCTTGAAGTCATGTTTCGAAAAGTGAACATAAATTAATTTATTTAGTTTTCCTATGTTGGTTAAATTCATATTTTCAAGACTAATAACTCTCAAGGGTAAAATAGGAAGAATTATATCATTTATGCATTGTTTTTGCGAAATGACAAATATTAAGGATCATCTATTTTTAATAAAGACAACACATAAATAGGAACAAAGGAAGTACTATAACTCAAGTATCTAAATAAAATTTAGTGAAAAATTAATTATTCCCTTTGTCCAAAAATAGTTGTCCAATAATGACTTGACACACGCCTTAAGAAACAATAAATAATAGAGTAATATTTTAATATTACTCTTTTGAATATATTAAATTTAATGCTTTGAAAAATGTATTAGATATTGATAACAAGGGTAAAATAGATACAAAATATAAATTATCTCTCAATTTTTCTAAACTAAACAAGTATCGTAAAGGTTGACGGGAGTAAGAGATTATCAATGTATCAAGCTAGTAATATACATATACGATTAGCTGACGATGTCTTTAATTTTTACTGGGATTACGAGGCACCACCGAATTCCCCCTCTCCCTGCCTTGAAAATCGGAGTAGGGAGCAGTAGAATTTATAGACCCAATACACAATTGGAGTTTTGACCATTAACTTCAAATCGTCACTCTTTTTCAAAATGGAGAAAGAAATTCTGGATTACGTGTTGGTACCATTAGGCCTACTTATCATGGTTGCTTATCACTTATGGCTTCTTCAACGCATTCTTAAACATCCAACTCACACAGTCATTGGCATCAATTCCATCAATCGTCGCTTATGGGTTCTTGCTAGGATGGAGGTAATTAATTAATTAATTAGGATAGGATTAGTTTTCATATTAACTAAATAATTAATCAATTGAATGTAACAGGAATCGTCTCAGAATGGTGTTCTAGCAGTACAAACGCTAAGGAACAACATAATGGCTTCGACGCTTTTAGCATCTACGGCGATTATGCTCAGTTCTCTCATTGCCGTCTTAATGACAGGCGGAAGCAGTGGTCGTTCAGTTGGTTTTCATGTTTATGGGGATAAGAGCGAGTTTTGCTTGTCAATTAAGTTTTTTTCGATATTGGTATGTTTTATGGTGGCGTTTTTGTTTAATGTGCAATCGATTAGGTATTATAGTCATGCTAGCATACTCATCAACGTGCCTTACAAGAAATTGGATTCGTCAAGGCATTGTGCGACGGCGGAGTATGTAGGGAGTACAGTGAATAGAGGCAGCTATTTCTGGTCACTTGGACTACGTGCATTTTATTTTTCGTTTCCACTATTTTTGTGGATCTTTGGACCTATTCCTATGTTTCTCTGCTGCATTTTCCTGGTTATCATGCTTTATTTCTTGGATGTAAGTTCTGATTTTGGATGGGTTGCACCAGCTGATGAAAACAACCAGCAGACTGCTTGACGACAAGGTAGTTTAGGTACTGTTGGCTTAGGTATCTTCATGTCAAATCACAGTACAGTATTTAGTATGATCCTATTAATGGGGGTGGGGTGTACTATTAGCTTCTTGTAGTAAAAAAGAGTGAGAGCAGTTTAGATTCAATCCAAGTTGCATTGAACTGCTTTCGTACCTTGTAATGACATCTTCAATAATGTTTTGTTCTTTTAAGAACTAAGCTTGGCAAGAAGAATAAGACTGAATTCATCATCAATACTTCTCGATGTCTAAAATAAGGAAGCAGCCTCGGTCCATCTCTTCTGTACTCCTGCTAACAACGCAGCCTCCGCATTCTATGTTTATTGATGTAATGTCAGAATGTAGGAAATAATATGTGCTTCAAACCTCATATTATGGAAGATGCAGGGCAGGGGCATAAACTTATGATTTTTATTTTTAAAATTTGTTTTGCCTGGCGGGCCGCAATCCTAAATCCTAATAATGACAGTCGTATATCAGGCATTTACATGAACCTTAAAAAAAAACGAAGGTATTGCATGTGAGACTTCTCACTCTTAGGCTGCAGTCGAATATTAAAGGGGGAACTAGGGAAGAGCGACTAATTAATCAGCTAGATCTAAATTTCATTTAGAAGTATAAAATCTGTACGCTTTTGTACACCACGAAGTTACTAGAGTAATAAGTACACTCCAATCAAGGCAACTAGTCAACCTAGTTCAAATAAACTGATGTCATCCAGAATCTAGTAGTTGACTTTAATCAAATCCAGCAAGCTCAAATAAATACAAGTACACCTGAACGAGGAGCAATCAAAAGTTCCCCATAACTTTAGTATAGCCCGGAGCTCAAAGAGATCTTGTATTTGGCCTGATACACTGCCTTGCATATGACCCCATGCACTTAACTGAAAATTATTGCTAGCTTGCCAACATTGGGCATATTTTCTGATGGAACCTTCTCTTCGAGGCATCCTTTTAAAAAGCCATAACACCGTTAAAGTGGTGCAGCTGAAAACCGAGTACAATTCCTTATGGGCATGCTAGATCTCAGTTGTGAGAGTACCTAGTCAAATAGCATGGGATGCATCCCGGTAACTGGATATATGCTCAGGCTATACGATATATCCTGAGCTCATTGCACTTATTTATTATTAAACGTGATAGTAAGGAAATATACCAATCGACCATTCCTACTTCACGCTTAGCAAGTTTAACTGTCCCATCATACCAATTGCAGGTGGCAGGAGGCGGTTTCAAATGCCAGTCCCAGACTCCCAAGGACACTTCTCACTGCAGGATGGAGATATGAAAAACCTACCTGGTGCGGGCACCTTTCAGGCCAATACATCTGTTAATTTAAGCTTAAGCTTCATGTTACCAGCTTGGACTAAAAGCTCTTCTCTAGAAGGATCGACTTTCAGGACTAAAGCTTGCTTGTTAAGCGAAGGAACATGGACTGAATCACCAACATTGGGAAGTTTCCTCCTCTTGGCTGTATATAGGCAAAACAGATCATTGCAACCAATAGTGGATATTTTGATCCATGTAAAACAAGAAAATATAATAGATGCTAGCAAGCCATTGTCCGTTGACAAGCAATAATGATCATCACATAAAAGAAAGAAGAAAGAAATTATGTTACCTGAAACAGGCAGCCTGGATGTACTGGGGGAGTACACAGCAGGAGTTGCTTCTGAAATTTCACCTTTTTCCTCTTTAGCTTCACTCTTCATAGTTGATGTGTGTCCATTACTTCCCAATATTTTCTGGGATGGTTGACTAGAAATTGCACGATATTGTCGTGCTCTCCTTTGAATGGAAGATCGTGCTACTGCAGCTGCTTCAGATATTTCCTGTTCCTTTCTGAATCTTTGATTAATGCTGTGTTCTTTCACATTTTTTCTGGCAATAAGCAACTTGTGATGGAGGCCTTTAGTGAGCCTAAACCAAAAGGCAGAGAACAAATACACACAACATGAGATTTTTGATAGTTAGTTTACTGCAAGAAAAAAGAGCAAAAGGCAGCGAGGGAAAAACAATCCCTAAATGAAATGTGAAATCTTCTGGTAATTTCTTTTATGAAGAGCATTTCTGGTAATAGTATTCATTAGAACTGCTTTCACTAAATTTTTCAGCCACCATCAGCATATATAACATAGATCATAAGTCAAACTCAACTTGAAATCTGTTCCATCAAACAGCCACCAGTCTGAACATTCCAATTACTACTGCTCCCTCCCACTACCATAACTTTCATGATTTGCTCTCTGCTTCTGCAGACCAGCCAGACTTTTTTTTGATAACCACAGACCAGCCAGACTTTTGTCACTGTTTCTCTGCTTTTGCAGGTGAGAGTTACTGTAGTTACCATA